TCCCAGATCTTGATTCCATGGTTACCGTGATGGCAGAATGTTTGAAGCAACGAGGATACCTGCACTGTTACTCGCATTGTCAACACAACTATAAAACTATAATGGATAGAACCTCCTTGATATTAAGATATTATCCCCTCAACAAGTAAGTTACTAATCTAGTTCTAAACAAATTCAATTTACTCGTGACTGACCTCAAAACAACTGACATGTTTATTACACCACCTTTGATCTCTTATAGAGGTAACCAAAATCATAAACACCACTTAGTACACTCTAAACTACATCAAAACAACAAATACTTGCTCATGGTACTCGCAGTGCAATAGAAACATTTATCATACTTATACGTACATCACAAACAACACTACAATAACTGACTCTTGTTCCACATTTTATGTTAGAAGATATCGGAATGCATCATTTACTGCATCTAGTGTATTAGATGTTGCAAGCTATATATCGGAGAAGCAGCCTGTAGACTCGGTGATCGATTTTGTGTACACCTTGGATCTATATGTGAAGGTTCCACTGACCTTCCCGTTTCTATGCAGCTTAATTCTTCCGACCAAAATGGCGTTACTGACATGATAGTGTTTGTCATCAAAACGAGAAAACCCTGAACATCGTCTCATCTACCAAATAAACTCGAACTTTCCTCACGTAATTAACAAACAGTTTCATTTCTAGCATTTATTTTTAATTTGTTTGTCAACCAAGTTTTTTTTTTTTAGATGTTATTTTTTTTCTTTTAACAATGCTTTCGATCTTGTACTTAGGTTAAAATGGAAGAAAAAAAATGACTCATAACATCTAAGCTTGTTCAAGCTCACGCTAGATATCACTTGTTTGTATGTATAGAAAAATTAAGAGAAAATACTCGGTATATGAAATAATGCTTAACCCTAACTCTTCTGTTGTTTCGAAAGCGTTTTACTTAACCGAGTTTCTTCGCTCACTAAATTTAGCTTGAAATAAAGATTATTCAGTTTCAATTTGCAGAACGAAAATATCCATGTTAGCATTATGGCTTTATTATTTGGGAAAATCAAATGTGCAAAATTCCACATAAAATTTAACTCTTATGAAAAGATTTGCAACTGCAAATAAGCAAAAATGTAAAGAAGTTTTATAATAACTAGCATAAAATACCCGCGCTTCCTTAACCCCAATTACTTCTATAGCTACTCCTGGGGGGGGGGGGGGTTAGGTACCCAAAAGAAAACAGTTAGGATATCTGCTTCTGAAAGCTGAGTACGTGTGCTAAGTTTGGTCACGCTAGCTTGTGAGGGGGATAGCACCACAGTTTTAAAATGGCACCACAGAATCCCAAGGGGAGGTACATGAACGCAAAATCTAAGGCCAGATTTGAGTTCAGCGACCCTAAAAACCTATTCCTAGAGTCCATCATTCCTGGCTGGCCTTCCGAACGTGTTTTAGCTCCCCCTGATACCACAAATAAATAAATGTTTGGGTCCACACCATATAGCAAAGGGCATCCCCAGACCACCCTGAACCTGTCTGCTAAGTGTGGTCCTGCTAAATCCAATCTGTTGGAGGAGTTCGCGAAGAAACAAATTTGCAAACACATAAAGTGAATTAATATAATGTGGTATAGAATGCCTAATCTGAAAAAGTATGATACATTTAAGATAGCAGATGTGATATGCAGATATCTATAACTAAACCTTTCTATAATGTAGTATATGAATTTATATTTATTCATCAATTTCTTTTCAAAAATTTAGTATAGGTTTTCGTACTTTTTGTTCAACCTTGTGTTGCACTAACTCTGCTCTGTTTTTGATCACGGAATTAGTGCTGATTTAAATATAATTTATTTACCTCTGTTTTGGTGGTTTAGTCGAACTTTATTCCAATATTCCAACTTACTCTTTCTTCGTTACACAGGCTCATTTGTTCTCTTACTTTTCTTCAGCTATACAGAGTTGTATGTTCCACCTGCTGCTCTGCTTTCATAGTACTGGCTCATCTGTTCTCCAAATTGTTCTTATTTTTACTCCATTACAAAGTTTCGTCTCCAAGTTGCTGAGAGTAGTGGGTCCCACCAAACATGCTCGCCTTTTCAGCCTTGGGTGCGTTATAATGTGACGGTTAATCCCACTATCCGTTGCTGAAAAGAGTTGGCTGTGGGTGGTGATGACTAGTTGCCTTCCCTCTAGTCTTACTCTGCTAAATTAAGGACGGCTAGCGCAAATAGCCCTCGTGTAGCTCTGCGCGAAATTAAAACCAAGCTAAACCAAACTAAGTTACTATCACTCTTTTTCCGTTACGCAGACTCATGTTCTCTAAGTTATTCTTCCTCTATTACTCTAATAGTAATGCGTGAAAAGTTTCATAAAGGTTTTCATAGACAGTTATTTTTCATTCTCTCATAAAATTCTTAGAATTACTAAAACTACTTACGCGCCGAAATGATAAGAACTCTTTAATTCCAGTATCTCGGTTAATAAGTTTTGGCGTTATTAGTTGCAACGTTATGTCCCAGACAAAAGAAAGTTTCATTTCTACTGTCAAACTTACTTTATTCAATATTGTGTCGGAGTATTATTTACTTATTCTTCTTAATTGCGAATCCCATTAAATGTTTTACCTCAATTTTGAGTAGAAGTCTCTCCTGATAGTTTTCAAATTGTCTTTTAATCATTCAGTCAAGATGTAATTTTATTATTCTCTATAAAGAGGGGCAGTACGTCTACTGCCATTTGTCATTGAAAAATGTATGTTCAAAAATTGTGTTATACTTATACAAACGCTAAAGGCAAAGAGCAGGAATTCGCTGATGTTTACACTGTATAAATTGTTTGACAAAATGTATCATACCTTATACAAATTCATGAAAAGACTGTTTTATGCTTCATACGTAAAACTTTTGAGAAGAAAGAAAATTAGAAAGGAGGAGGGGAGAGGTGAATGTTGAGACTTTTTGGAACTTGTATTATTATTTTCCATTCAAAGCAGTCGATTTATATTTTATACATAGTACAGTTTTGTATCGTAAACTAGCATTTCAGTATATCAGCATTATTTTAAATACTGGAAGGGGCAACCACTCATTCGGAGCGTAAACCATTACCGATTAGGCTACCAGATAGCGCTGTTTAGTTATCACATATGTCTGGATAGAAGGTTAAGTTACATAGAAAAATGTTAACTTCGACTCTATTTTCCAAATACGGCATATCGACATGACACCATTTTCAAACATTCAAATGAAATAAACCAAATACTGATTGCAAAAAGACGCAAGTTTATGAAACTATAAGATTACACATGTGCATGTTCTCGTCATAGTCGCCCGGATTGCAAACTACGCCCTTGAAACACAAGTAACCTTTCATTAATCTATAGCAGCATATATATATATAATAAAAAGTAAGATCACAAAATGAAATTTTTATTTCAGCCATGAGAGAGCTTTCTTAACATTAAAGTTGCTCATCAACTAAGACCCCCCCCCCCTTAGTGGCACAGAGGTAAGTCTGCGGACTTAAAACGCTAGAAACCGGGTTTCAATACAGGTGGTGGGCACAACACAGATAGCACACTGTGTAGCTTTGTGCTTAACTACAAACAAACAACCAAGAGCAACCCGATTTTTTTAATTGTTTGATTGACGTTTAAAGAAACGTCCCATTTTTCGTAATATCTGAGACAACTTACCTGAACTTACGTTAACTTACTTACACGCTTAAGTTGACTTTAAAACAAATCTTAAACTTATATACACAGATATACTTATTTATTCTTTCTTTTCTTTTCTTTTTTATTTTATTTTATTTATTTATTTTGCAGATATTGTCACACTAACACTTCTTCATAAAGTAACTTTATGAGTGGTTAATCATCCTGCATAAGTAAAGTTTCTCCTGAAAATTGAGACTGGGCGGGCTTCCAACCCGTGATTTTAATTTTAGTCAACTAAACTATTGTGCCTCGAGTGTATTACGACTACATTTTCATTATATTGGACAGAATTCGGCAGATTTTCTAATACTTCTTATAGCTTGCCGCATCGTATACAGCACAAAGGTCTGGAAACAGAGAATTATAATCCTTTGTCATAGTCTAATTAATAACATCGAGATCAGAATAGCATTTTCGAGCGGTATCGTTTTACCTATTTCGTATTTAGCTCGACAAACACGCCTTGAATAACTTCCGAGGGATATAGATTTCACAGCGGCATCTTTCACGTGATACTGATTAGCTGGGCGAAGACGCCTTGAAATACTGCCGGAGGGCGCTGTAGCTGTGGCTGCGAGGAACAATGCAGATGGAGAGATTGCATGAATCACAGCGGCTTGATCTGACATTTTTGTTTCTTTACTTGTCCTTTTTAGTGCCAATGGATGTCTTGTATTATGTGTGAACAAATTAGATCATGTCTACTTGTTATTAATTTAGTGACATTCCTCATCTTAGTGTTTAATGATGCTGAATTAGTTTTAGCACACAGAAGATATAATTGAATAAGTAAATCACACTGTTAATATTACAGCACTTTATTTTTAGGCCTTTCACAGGCTGGGGTATTAATAACGAGTTGCAGTATTGTTAACGAAACCTGCTTCAAGTTAGTTAAGAATACAATGCTACAGAGATTAGCAGACTTGTTACAACCGTGTTTAACAGTTTGGGAGGGCCGCATTATCATCCTTCACCTGGTTAATTTGCAGAATAATTATTAAAAGTTGTAGATCCATTTTGATGACATTCCAGAAATATGTTCAGAATTCAATTAAACCCGTTGTGTGTTAACGGTATTAATCAACAATGCTCGTGATTTTTATCGCGGTTAAAACAAAAGTGTATTAGGATAGAACGTTTCGTTGATATTTAGATAAGTGAACATTCCAAATTAAAGATTAACTTTACTATAGCAAAGATATATTGACGTGGGTGCAGTATTTTGTTCAGTGCTATATATATAAACATTTTTAACACAATACGGTTTACAGTTAAACTTTCTATTCCAGAGAAATGTGACGAAACCAAAGAGTTCGACTGTGGAGACGGCACGTGTGTGGCCAAAGCTCTTAAGTGTAATGGACATTTCAATTGTAAATACCGCTACGACGAGGAGGACACCATATGCTCAGTTGGTAAGTGGAGAATATGACAGGTTAATTTGATAAGTAGGGGACACCATAGATTCAGTTGGTAAGTAGGGGACACCATAGGTTCAGTTGGTAAGTGGAAAATGTCATATGATGTTAGTAATTGAGTAATCCATCCCCGCTTACAATCTGAGCATATGGTGTCCCCCGCTTACAAACTGAGCAGAAGGTGTTCCCCGCTTACAAACTGAGCAGACGGTGTCCCCCGCTTACAAACTGAGCAGAAGGTGTCCTCCAGTTTTTACCAGAACATATGCTTTCCTCTACTTACCAACTGACCGTAGGGTGTCATCTACTTACTAATGGAACATATGGTGTTCTTCACTTTCAAATCGAACATATGATGGCCTTCAGTTACAAGCTGAACACAGAGAGTCCTGTAATATTAACCGAACATGCACCTTCTGCTCAGTTTGTAAGCGGGGGACACCATAAGCTCAGATGATAAGTGAAGGATAACCTATTTTCAGTTGGTAAATCGAGGGAACCATACGTTATGTTAATAACTATAGACGACCTATGCTGATTTGGTAAGTGCAGAACAATATATGCTCAGATACTAAGTACAGGACAGATATGATCAGGTGATAAATGGAAGATACATGTGTTCAGTTAGTAAATGAAGAACAATATACAGTAATGGAAGACACTCATCACCCTTAACAGTCCCGTTGCAGCTATCCAAGTAGAATAATAATAGCCATATTAAACCCACGCCCTTAGCAATCCCATTACGGGTATTCAGTAGGTAGTTACCGACAATGGCAAAGCTGAATTGTACATATCTGGCTAGGTTTTACCATACTGCCGTATTTAAACGTTACTAGAGTCACATTCTGTGATTTTAATAAATTTTGAAAATATTCACTACATCCTTCTTTAATGGATAAAGATTAACGTTAGAAATTTGACCCGTATATTGGCGCTAACTTTCATGGCCGCGGTTAGCCACTTGTATTAGAAAATTCAAAAACGATCAGGGAATGATTGCCAAAACTTATTTTTTATTACAGTTTTAGTTCAACTTGTTTGTTTTAGTGCAACGCTGCATAACGGATCATATGCGATACACCCGTCGCAGAGATCAAACCTCGAATTTCAGCGATATAAGACCTCAAGCTTACCTCTTAATCATTGGAGGACTTTTTATTCCTGCTACTTTAGGTCTTAGCAGATCTTACCAACTATCTAGCAAGAGGTTTCACAAGCTTCAGCACCCACACCAAATTTATTCATGGCAATTTTAATGCAGTGCTTTTGGTAAGTGGCGAAAGATGGTTGTTCAGACGGTTTTACAGATGAGCTCACACGCTCTACATTTCATATTTCTTTTACAAGCACGTACAGAATTTCTACTACTGAACCATTTAAATCGCTATGGTTGCATGCCTTTCGCAATTTCTCTCAGAAATGCTCTTTTATTCTGCACGTGTGTTTTTGAAAATCATTATTACCCTGGAAAGGTTTTCATAGCAGTTCAAGCTGCGAGTTCCAAGGATTAGATATGTACTTGTATAGTTTCTAACGTCGCTCCGTGGTGCTCAGAATCTCTTGGTCGATTCTTCTTAAATAATCTTATGAATATTACCCAGAATCCCCTTCACTGCTGTTGGTTGAATATTTTACTTCCTTACTTTAACTTTAAATCTTTGGAATACCTCGCATAAACCCGATTGAGAAACTGTATTCATAATCCATTGAAAATTGAAGCGTTTCTCGACATCGACATTTTTTCAAAATTTCTATGTCTTTTTTTTTTTTTTCACAGTAACCGGCGAGTTGCGAAACTGAAAGTTACTTACTTTGCTTAAATACTTCAGGTTAACTCCACGCTGTTTATTAATTACGTAATAATGTGATCGTGAAATTGTTTAGTATTGTTTTTAATTATTATTTATAGCTGTTTGTTTGTTTGTTTTTAATTATGCACAAAGCTACACAAGGGCTATCTGTGCTCTGCCCACAACGGGTATCGAAACCCGGTTTCTAGTGTTGTAAGTCCGCAGACATACCGCTGTGCCACTGGGGGGGGGGGATTATTTATAGCAAAATTAAAAACTGCTCGATAATCTTCAATGTAAATGGTGCTATTTTAGATCAAAGTGAAGATGTTGCTTTGGTTTTTCCAGGGTCTACAGCAAGTGTGGTTCTGTCTTCGGAACATATGATTATCATCTTAGTGGTTTTCTTCGCTCTGGTGTTCGGTATGTGTCTGTCCATCTCCATATCCTGTTACAACAAGATAAAAGAAAGAAAGGAACAGGAACGAGAGTATCGGCTACGCCGCTCCAAGGAGGCATCAATGGAGGCAGACATGGACCGCAAAGTTGCCAGTGTGGAAAAGAACTTAGGGACATTTAGAAAAACCCCGAATACCAAGATAGCAATGGGATCTCGAAATAGTGACAATACAGAAACCCAAGAAGAAGATGAAGATGGGTGTTATGTACCAGAAATAGATCTGACTGTATTTGATAAGTTTCCAAACGGTGGTTCTTCAGTGACAAGAGTAAATGACAACTGTCCACTATCTCCGCCCACTAGACAAGAAGCAATTACAATTCTATCAGATGGCAGCCAACACCATCCTTACTGTAGTTATCACAGATTCAGTGAAAGTCCTCCTCTTCCTCCCCCACCTCCTCCCCCTCTGCCTCCTCACCTTCGCAGGAGAGAAGAAGCCCTCTGTTCAGACAGCCTTGTCCTTTTTGACAATCAGTGTCCTAAACATAACAGACCAGCCTTACTTCGAGTTCAGCAAGACGAGGATCTTGAAGAAGAAATAGAGCTCACAGAAGCAATGGTTGAGTTATATCCAAACAGTCCAGGGGGTTGTCGTCAGAAATATGATCACCAAACATGAAATGTTAAACGATTTAGATATTGTTAACCATCCCTGGCTGAACTTTATGGTTACAGTGCAAGGTTGTTTAACTCCCGTGACGCAATGAAAGCGGATAATATACATGTTAGTAAGTAGGTCTTCTCCATTTGATTTGGAACTTCTGTTTAATTTGCACTACAGTACATCACCAAATTACAGCTCTGTTAACGCAGTTTTTGTCATCTTAATGACATGGGCATCAAGTACGTGACATAGTAATCTTTCGACTTCTAGATGTTTGTGACAGTTAGTGCATAGAGAAAAGATTCACGCTAATTATAGTTTCATTTTGTAAGCAATCCATATGTGTTGCTCAAAGAACATGCCAAATGTTCGTGTTTTTCCATGAAAGAAACGTCTTCTTGTGCCGACGTGAAACAAAAGAAATAGAAATTTGTTGTTGCTCAACATCCTCCATGCCATTACTGATGGAGGCAATCATTGCCTGAACAGATACTGCTCTTGTTCGTAATTTATCAACTGTTTACTAAATGAACTAAAACTTGTGGATATGGTTCTTTTGAGCTACAAAAGAAGAGGTGTTAACCCCCTTGTTAGGTACCGTTGGTTTGTAACTTTACTCCGCTTTTATGCTTATCGAAAAAAAAAGTTACGAGTGTATCTAAAATCCTAAATTTTCCCATTTCCTTTGTTGGTGCTATGTAGTCATTTAATGTGAGCAGTAACCTAAATAAGTTGAACATGTGCCTTTAAAACGTGACATTCTTTTTCCATCTTATGTTAAAAACCCTTGTTATGTATTGTATACAATGTCACTTTGACAATATTAAAAATATGTGACTTAGGTTTAGAATGAACTTTTCATCGAAACTCAGAAGTTCTTATTAATAATTCTGAACCTGTGGAGTACTGTATTGTACGAACAAGGAAAGTAAAGAAGTTCTGGTTTCGAGTATGTTTTATAAACCTCTCTACTCAATCAATAAATTAGGTTTTCTTTTCTTTTTTATGTAGGTTTCTTTTGAGTTTTAAAAGTACGGAATACAGTCTAACATACAGAACATAACCACCCCGTAACACAAAATGAGGACATAACAATGCCATGGTTATGATCGCCTAAGCTTAATAATTAATTCTAGGTAACAGCATGGAGCCAAAATAGGGATTTGTAGTTTGAGTAAATATTGTCTATAGTGTCTCCAGCCTTGTTTCCTTACTTTTTTACGATCCCTCCTTGCAGGTTTTAAAATTTTTATTTATCTTGTACCTATAGCTTAACAGTTGCTGATAGTGTAATTCACTTTATACTTAATTATGAAGTAAATTAGTAATTATTAGTAAAGCTACCAAAGTCCCTCATACGACAAGTAAACCAACACAAAAGTTTTAGATTTTGATTTTCCTTCTTTTTTTCTCTCTTTTTTACTACTTTTTTCTTTGAGGTAAATGCTAATATACATTTATTTCGTATTACAAACTGTCCGAAGTAACTCACTTATCCTTATGATTCACTATCTTTGTTCATTCTTTATTCTGGAACACACATAGGCTAGTTTGAATTTTAAGTTGGCCTATCGAACATCAAGCCGTTTGGGGAAATTACAGGCTATAATCTTCCATAAGGGCTTACAGATTGCTATAAATTGCAACATTCCACCCACCCCTCCCTTAATTTTCCTTCTATAAAAAACAGGAGATTATACTTTCATCATAAATAAATGGAGTTTAAGGACTGCTACTCACTGCACAACACTAAAAAACGTATATATATATATATATATATATACACTTATCACGTTTATTTCGTAACACGTACATATATACATATTATATATATATATACTTAAAGATACAGATAATTGCTGTACTGACAGCTCATAAAATAATTTTCAAATTATTACTATCTTTATAATGACATTATGTTTTTAAAACTGCATAACTGGACAGAATTAGGTGAAAGTTTCCAAATCCAAACCTAGGTATCCTGGATCGCAAGAATATGGAGAGGGTAGCTAGAATTTTGAGTTTATTGAGTGCTAACGTAGATATAGTTGATTGATTGAGCTTATAGAGCATTGAAGTAAGGCTGTAAAGTCTACACTGCAATATAATTCAACATTAGAATAAAGACTATAGAGGCAGCTTAACAGTAAGATAAATACCAAGAATCAGTGAAACACTAGTATGAGGACTATAGAATCAGCGAAACACTAAGATAAGAACTTATGGTCACCTAGTTGCAAGTTTCTTAGTTCATATATTTTGCCAAGAATTAAGAAGTGACACAGAACTTACTTCACATGGTCAGCTACTTTCAAGTTTCTTAATTATATACCTTACCAAGAAGTAAGAACTGGAATAGAACTTATTTCTTATAGTCACCTAGTTGCAAGCTTCTTAGTTCATATATTTTACCAAGAATTAAGAACTGGAACAGAACTTACTTCTTACGGTCACCTAGTTGCAAGCTTCTTAGTTCATATATTTTACCAAGAATTAAGAACTGGAACAGAACTTACTTCTTATGGTCACCTAGTTGCAAGCTTCTTAGTTCATATATTTTACCAAGAATTAAGAACTGGAACAGAACTTACTTCTTATGGTCACCTAGTTACAAACTCCCTATTTCATGCATCATTCCATCAGGTAAGGAATTAAAGCATAATATTTGGAAATTTATCCAGGAATTTTGTGTTTGGTATTTCTAAATATATATTATGAAAATTCCACGTTTCTTCCATAAGCAAAGTATTAAATAATGGCAGCTTTTAAATTGCTCAGTTTAATTCTTAAATAAATACAACGAAACTTGGATAACCCGCTAATACGCTTAACGTCAGAATTTATTGTATTGTGTGAAATGATTCCATTAATGTTCCTAACATAAGGATATTCGCTGGTGTGGTGTGAAGCTAATTTGATAATATGTTTAGTATCTGGATGTTCACTCGTTTTATGTGAACTCAATCAAAGCCCAAAATATTCTTATTTCAGATATCATATTGGAATATATACATTCAGCACCACTGGTTATCTTGATGACGGACATCTTATTGGAATAGGCCTATTCCACTAAAATGCCTGAGATAAGGATATTCACAGGTGTCTTGTAAATCTATTCCGATAAAATGCCCAATTACAAAATTATCACTCGCGTTATGTCAAGCATTCCGATATAATGCTTGATATCAGAATAATTACTAGTGATGTGTGAACCTATTTCTCCAAGATTTCTGACACGAAGATATTCAATCGTGTTGTGTAAATCTATTCGACTAATATACCTGACATCAATGTATGCCATGTGTTCTTTGAAGGTATTCCATGAAAATGCCTGAAATAAGGATATTTATTCCTGGTATTCTGTGAATATATTCCACTAAGAAGCTTCACGTCATTTTATTCACTAGTATTATGTGATCCTATTTCGATAATATGGCTGACATCAGAATATCACTGTTGTTGTATACAGTTATTCCACTTAGATGCCTGGCATGGATATATTCTCTCGTGATATGTAAATCTATTCTACTAATATGCCTGACGTTCTGTGAAGCTATTCATCTAAGATGCCTGATATCAAGATATTCACTGATGTTGTGTGAAGCTATTCTGTTAACCGTTTTCGAGTAGTCCAAAGAATTATACTTTTCCTCGCCCATAATTCCTATAATTTTAGTACTTTAATTTTTAATTTTCTTGTAAAACATATAAGACATTTCTTAATATGTAATGGATTCAACTTCAATTGAATATTTTAACGTAGTTTGTATTTTGACTGTTACTTTTAGTAATTGGGTGCACGTAATGACTTTGATATGACAAGTTATCGTTTGTATTGGTTATCAGATTTGCTCAGGTGGCGCCAACTATCCCGTCGATGACTAATAGTCATTAACAACATGTACACAGTTATATAATGTAACAATTATAATTTGGTTTTCTCTGTTACATTAGCACAAAGATAGAATACTCCTCTTTCCACAATTTCCTTTTCAAAAAAAGAAAGTCAAACCACAAGTTCGTAGAAAGCAAGGCCTTTTCACGACACGAAATTTAAATAAACATAGTTTGTTTGTATGTTTTAGCGCAAAACTACAAAATGGGCTATGTGTGCTCTGTCCAAGCGGGAAATCAAACTCCAGATTCGGGCGTTGAAACGTGACCTTGGTTTAAAGGATTACCTTCAGCTAACATTGGCTAATTTGGTTGAATTGTCTTCTTTCTTACAATAATACTGAATATGTGTGCAGTTTTGTATAAGTAAAATTTGAACTCGCTGAGTGAAGGTATAGAATTATTTCAGTTCATGTAGACCTATGCTAAAATTTTCTTCAAGATGTTATTCTAGCATCAATACAATATTGTTGCAAAATACCGAAGGTGTTTAGACCTGTGAACTATCACAAGCGTAACTATAGATTTGGAAAGGATGGGGTGGTGCAAACTTTGTATATAGATACTACTGAAGGGCTGGAAAGTGTAAAGATGTGTAGAGAGGTACGAATTTGATATATAAATACAACTGAAGGGCTGGAAAGTGTAAAGATGTGTACAGAGGTACGAATTTGGTATATAAATACAACTGAAGGGCTGGAAAGTGTAAAGATGTGTAGAGAGGTACGAATTTGGTATATAAATACAACTGAAGAGTTGCAAAGTGTAAAGATGTAGAGAGATGCGAGGTTTGTATTTAAACACAACTGAAAATTTGGAAAGTGAAGTGGGGTGTAAAGCGATACGAAATTTGTGTCTAAACACCACACAACTGAAGATTTGGAAAGTGTAAAGATGTAGAGAGATACGAGATTTGTGTCTAAGCACCACACAAGTGAAGATTTGGAAAGTGTAAAGATGTAGAGAGATACGAGATTTGCGTCTAAATACAACTAAAAATTTAGATATTGTAAAGAAGTGCGAATTTTGTGTCTTAACACAACTAAAAAGTTGGAATGTGTAGTTAGTTTTGTGTTGAAACATACCAACAAAAACATTTTCTAATTTAATCCTCAAAGCTATGAAACCAAACACTTATATTTTCATCAGAAATAACAAAAGCTTTGCACTTTTTTCATGAAAGTCACTAATTGAAATAATTGTAGCTAAATTACTAGGAAACTCGCCGTATGAACTTTCCACATAAGTCATAAATCTTGTCCAAACAATAAGTTAAATAAGTTACCACCTTCAATAACTGGCCTTTGTTCGTCGAGACCCCCACATAGTCAGCTGTCTGTTGGTGTTAAATGATTTTCTTCTAGAGTGTCAAATATCCCTTCTCTTCAATACGTTTCTCTGTATAACGAAGACTACTCAATTATTTACTGTGAAATATTGTATAGAACATAATCTATAATTCTACTGAAGCTACACCTCACCGTTTGCATGATGCATTGTTCCAGACACTTGCAGAACGACACCAGCTGGCCGCGTTCGACGCGGGTTTTACTCTCGAAAGGGAAATTAGCGTTTCCATGTGGTGTATATTGTTTCCGGATGATGAAACGTTCTATATCGCTTTGATCAAACCACCACAATATCTGAATGTTTAAATTAGCGTTTCCATGTGGTGTATATTGTTTCCGGATGATGAAGCGTTCTATATAACTTTGATCAAACCACCACAATATCTGAATGTTTAAATTAGCGTTTCCATGTTGTGTATATTGTTTCCGGATGATGAAACGTTCTATATCGCTTTGATCAAACCACCACAATATCTGAATGTTTAAATTAGCGTTTCCATGTTGTGAATATTGTTTCCGGATGATGAAACGTTCTATATCGCTTTGATCAAACCACCACAATAACTGAATGTTTAAATTAGCGTTTCCATGTTGTGTATATTGTTTCCGTATGATGAAGCTTTCAATATCACTTTGATCAAACCACCACAATATCTGAATGTTTAAATTAGCGTTTCCATGTTATATATATTGTTTCCGGATGATG